GAAACATGCGGTACTGACTTAAAGCACCGTACACGTTACTACATGCCTTAGCTTGTAGACCACAGCTCAAAGAGTCAAATAATTCTTTTGTCATAAGATTTCCAAATAAGATTTCCAAAATTATTATTATTTTTTATGCATACAGGCGAATAAAGATAAAGTTCAGACGAAACAAAGGGTTAAAATATAGAACGATGCCAYGGCTACGACCTATGTCGTATATAACGACGGATCCAAGACATGGTTAATGAGTCTGGTATAGATAATCTAACATAAGTCGGATAATATTGATATTTAACAAATGGTTTCCTTAAGAAAAACCTACATAKTTCTTCTAATCTGTTCTAAAAGGCAAGTCTAATGGAACAAAAGGGATGATAGCACGATCCACACTAAGACGGATAATCYACTGTTGCGCCAGTGAACACGTTATCGAGGATTATAAAGATAGAAATACACGGTAGCAAGGCAAGAACTTAGGGTCGGATACTCTACCCTATGAATATAAAAAACTTGCCCTAAATAACCAATGTAATCTGCCAAGATCTTAGATAGTCTGAGATRTAATTGATTCGGAAGGCGCAAAAGAAAATAATCCCGCGGTTGGTCTATAATTAGTGTCATTAACACGACGTCGGATTTTAGCTCCAAAGAATAACATTGTTAATGAAATTGCCTGCTTATGGTGTTATCAGTGGAAGGTTTTAGTTGGCTGTAGCTGCATGGTTGAGATGCGCACACGTTTGAGAGGTCAGGGCGAGAGATGCGCCAAGCATCATCTGATAATTGTTTAAACTAGGAGAGARAAATATATGCACCAAAAAATAAGTTGGAGATCTTCCTGTCATTACCGTGATATGGCGCACAGTTTTAAGGTGTACACGTACCCAGACAGGTGTGCCAGGCATAATTTGCCAATAGTTAAAACTAAAATAAAATTTTAAAGTTATAGTCCGGGAACAGTAAGAGGAGAATCAAAAGAGATCCTTAATTTAGAGGAGTAATTTGTGCGCGAACGAGATATTTTAGTGAATACTGTGTAATTGCGCACAGTTTTAATGCGTAAGAGTTACAACCCCACCAAGCATGTTCTGTTAACAGTGACAAAAGAAAAAAATTTTTAAATACGGTTCGCGAACCGTAAGGTGATTTAGAGGAGTAAGATATCCGCTAAGCATAATCTGTTAGATTTCAGATATGAAGTTAAAAATATATATATATTATAGACCCAAGATATGTCAAAAAATCGAAAAATGATTATTCTGCTCATTGCGCACAGTCTTAAAGAGTATATGAAGTTCGACATCTGGTACTGAGGTCTTAAATATGAAATAAATAATAAAACRGATCGAACCATAGAACGAATACTCTAAGGATATCTCCTAGTTATCAGTGCGTGAATAATAAACTAGCTAAATGACAGGAGACGGGGATTTTTTCGCGAGTAAATTGCGCACACTAATAACCGGAAAATTATCATTGYATTTTTTTATACTTCCGACATGCCCACAATGCCAATACTACCCAATGAACTAACCACCATTGTTTTATGCCTTCAGGTAACTTTCAATACGTCTACCGTCAAGAACGCAGAGGCAGTATTAATAGAAAATGAACAAGCTTTGGTTCACTGTAACAAGGTAAAACGAGATGTTTGTTTACTGTCTCAGTCGTTAAAAGGCTCAGTCTTATGAGATTTCATTCAAGCACCGGGTTATCTGCCTGTGAGTGTTTTTAACCTTAAAAGCCGGCTTACAGCCTCATGAACGTATCTAAAACCACTCAGAGGCTTCTTTATAACCGGAACTTAATTCCCCATAAACAAATTAACGTCAAGTTAATTGACTGAAMATCCATAATGCTATCATAAATGCCGAATTCCTGTCCACAAACTCGTTTCCTTAATACAATATAATGGCTTATTTGGAGAAACCATTTCCTCGATACGATTTTTAGAAGTTTGTGCGCGTAATCCAAAGATAACTGACTACACAGATATTAGACCTTAAGATAACACTGCGCGTCGCTAAAAACCCGCATTTACTTAATGTAAGACGTTTTCTATCTGAAGCGCATCTTCCCATTTACTTTCTTATTATTGTATCAGCTTTGAAAAGGCTAATATTTTATTAGGATCAAATTTTCGCAGGGCCAATATTCTCGACTTTACGTAGTCAGCGAGAAAAGTGGGGATAGTTGGGAAAATGCGTTGCAAGATTTTCATAATATCCTACATACGTCTCCACTCACGATGGTAATGATAACAACTAAAGCTGTTTCGTTATTTTGTATCCATGCGTAGTGTTCGTACACAGCAGGAAGGAGTGACATGTTTGGTAAACGTTCAACCTGTTCATGGAATAGCGAGTTACCCACAAAACATTGTTTTCAAGAATACATGAGAGAATTTGGCTCTGTAAGTAACTTATCAGTTATAGCTTTTGGTTTTGTTTGTTTAAACAGAGTAGTATTTATCGTTCCCTTTAGAGCAGTTTTCCTGTGACTGTAAAAAGCTCAGTGCCGTATTGGTGCCTTGCCGTGACCGTGATGTTTTTTTCTAGAATTTTAATTGGCTGATTGTTTTCTCGCGCAATGTGATTGGTCTGGCAGTGCCGTGACCTTGGCGTGACCGTGTCCGCGCCGTGTTCGTACCGTGTTTCGGGTATTTTATTGGATGGAGAGTAAATTCTCGCGCAATGTGATTGGTCTGGCATATGCCTTGTCGTGACACGACAGTTTTTGAGCCGCGAGCTTTTCACACTGATACGAAAACTGCTCTAGGGTAGTCTCTAGGGTATGTGCTATTATGCGACCTGGATTTACTATCCAGGGAGGAGTAGGTGGGGCTTTTTAATGATACCATAAAATGACCTCTGGGCTAATCAGAGTCAGGGCAAGGCTAACACACAGATAGAACCCCTAAACAACCTATGGGCTGATTAAAGTTAGGACGCATGTAACTCACAGAGAACCCTGAAACAACCTCTGGCCTGATCGAGGTCGGGCACGGCCAACTCACAGTTAGATTTGTGGAGGGAGGGGAGGTAGGGGCTAAACTTGTCCCTTCTTTACGCTTGACCAATAAGGATAGTAACTTACCTGACTGTGGAAAAATCTTGGCTCTGCAGATGTTTTTGATTTGGCGCCGTTACCGAACCAGTAGCCTTCTACACAGTCGTCCTTAAGCAGGAGGCTACCGAACCAGCCGACACGTTWTTTTATATACCTCTATTTCAATAAACGTTGTCATCGTCAAAAGCGATAGGCTATAGTTGAGATTCGTTATTCCAGGATCCAACATGATAATGACTTGTGTTTCTGCTTCTTATTCTCTTCAAGAACATGGACCTTAATGTTGAGACTGATTCGATGTTCTTTGTATTCAACGAAACCATTTCCGTCTCGGAATGACCTATCGTCTATCGACTTAGGCGATGACGTTTTTTTGAAATAGGTGTATACACTGTACGTACAAATGGAAAGCATGGGTAACGTAGAGCGCGGCGAGAACTCTCGCCTCTCACCAATGCAAAAGGGCCTTCTCTCCGCAAAAATTATTTTCTAATTTCCAATTGGATTTCAGTGGAAGAAGAACCAATTTATGGAACCACTGTTAACTTCCATTATTTTATTCATTTTATATACAGCTATTTCAAAAAACGTTGAATACTGAATAGTGTATTCCAAGATAGAAATGCATTTTGGGTGTTATGTAATAATGTCTAAAGTAAAAATATATGTTGTTTTAGTGCATTCCATCTGAAACAATATAAGAGCTGTATATAGAGAGCAAATCGCTATCTATTTCTTATTTAATATCAATGAGACCCACAATGCCCTTTGGTCTTGGAATGCACTATTGAGCATGCAGTATTCAGTATTCAATATTTTTTTGAAATAGCTGTATACATCTGTATACATTGAATATGCAAGCAAAAGTGTTTTATGTAACGTTTTAATGCTATTTTTGTTTTAAGGTCAATACTACTTATCCTTGCTACTATGATTCTTCAAACATGAAAGATGTGGTCAATATGCTAAAGGTTCGTCACACTTTTTGAGTTTAAAAAATGCATTGAGGAAGAGGGTTGAATCTTATTTCGGCACAATCTCAGTCCTGTTACGTTGTGACGTGTTTCCGGGTCTTACTGATCATAAAAACTGCTAAAAAAAAGCAAAAAATGTTCTCAAAGATTAAGGAAAATGGTCGTAATATACGTGAAATCGAGTACATCAGTAAAAGTAAACCGATGGACTAACAAGCGAGAAAGTAACTAAATCCCAAATGATTAAAAAACATTTTAACTGCAATGACGTTTTGGACGTTTAGTCCTTCGGAGTAAGAGAAGYRAGGAATGGGCTCAGGTTAAAAGTCRAATTTTCACATGAGCCGAACCYAAAATTTCRMACGAGYYGAACCTAATTAGAACAATGGATAACAAGGCGGTCRTCTTTGATGGTATTAGGTTCGGCTCATGTGAAATTTGACGTTTGACCCTAGTCTTAGTTCCTTCTTATTCACTTATTGTATTCAACACACCACCGCGTTCCCAACTAGTTACCGCTAGTCATTMTCAACTAAATTCAAGTGCCACCATTACATTTTCTCTCTCTTCTTGTTGTGTTTATTGGGATGATCGGTTCTATTTTGTTTMTTGTCTCTAGGTCAGTTCCACTGAAGCAGCCTTGGCCATATTTATTCCTGTATTTCTTCTTCTTCTATGGTTACTGGCATTTTCTATTCTTGCCTACGATCGCTACAAACGCAGGTAATTACAACTAAACACT